CACACACACACACACACACACACACACACACACACACACACACACACACACACACACACACACACACACACACACAGGCTCGTACTAGCGAGCTACGCTTTCTCTGTGGATGGATGTGTTTTGTTGGTTTGGTCTTTTATACATGGCCTCATTCTTTGCCCTGCTTTGCAGCATGGGCTGTCTTGTCGATGAAGTTATGTCTGTGGGTGGCGAAGAGTTTTCTTTGGGGTGGCTCAGAGAGTGTTTGTTGTGGGTGTCATTCCAACGGGCTGCTCTTTTGGAGCACATGGAAGAATGGGGTAGCTTCTAAGGTGTTTTAAGCAGTAGCGCTCCTGGTGTCGCATGGAGATCTTGTGGAATTTGGCATAGTACTCGCAGTGGCCTCGCTGTAGCACTACGACCTCATCCGATTCTGCAGGTTGCGCAGCAGGGGGAGGTTCATGGCACTCGTGGTGTTGTGTACAGGTCCTGCGGTCTATTTTTTATTTGTGGTGGCGTTGTAGGCTGTCACAGAGGGCTCTGATTTTTTTAAAGACAATTGGCATGGATGGTCGGGGTTTTTTTGTTAGTGGAGCCTTTTGTGTTATACTGTTTTGTGGTTTTGTCACTTTTGCGGGCTGACGTGAAGGGCTCTCCAAGTTTTTTTATGGAGGATTGGGTCCGTGCTTTCTTGCTGGTGGAGTCCTCTGTCTTAGGTAAGTTGCTTCTTGCCCTCCACCCTTTTATGGATTGAATAACATATGATATAAATGTATATATGTATATGTGCAAGTGTGCCGCTTTGGCGGCAGAAGGGTGTGTGGGCACTTGGCGCTGAACCACACAAACGTGGCCAGCCTTGCATTTTCTATTGTCTAGTCTATCTATACGTTTTTGTTATGGATGATTTGTCATGAATTGTGGAGGAAACGAGAGAGAGAATTTGGCGTGCCTTAACAACACACACACACACACACACACACACACACACACACACACACACACACACACACACACATGCCTCCGCTTCATCGTAGACCTCATCATCAACACATTCATGGTCAGATCAGCTGTCACAAAGGGCCCGTCGGCAGACGCATCCATTGTCAGATCGCCCATTACAGATGCCTCTTCGGCGGAGATGTTCCCGGGCTCCACCCCCACCTCCAAGACAGCGGCCTCATTTGTCCTTGAACAGCATGATCACCCCACCCCCTGGAGGGGTTAGAGATCTGCCCCAACGACATGCTCGCAACCGTACCAAACAACATCGCCGCTCTGAATATACACTAGCCAGGAATAGTACATCTCGAGTCTGATACCCACAATGTGGCTATGATTTCTTTAGTGCTGCAGGTCCGTGGCTGCACCAGACACTGTGTGCAGCTTCCTGTGCAGCATTTGCACGACTAGCAGCCACTTTGAGCCCAAGTGCGGTTGACCAGCTTCCACTTCCTGCATGTGACCCACCCATTTCTCATCCACCTAGCCTGCCTCCTCCCCCACTCAAATTGACAGTGATCCACCTTTGGATCACCTGATGGAGCACCCAACTGAAGATGATCTCCCTCCGCGGTGCACACTAGAGCCAGTGGAGCTGATACAGCCCGAGGAACCAGAGAGAAATAGTCAAGACAGCAATGAATCCCCGCCCCCCCGGCAATCTATAGAGTTAAATGAATTTCCCCCTGGTGCACAACCTGCAGAGTCAGATGATATCATAGTGCTACAGCGAGGCCGCTGTGCGTACTATGCCGTTAATGTATATCTCCTCGCTTACAGTTGCAATCCTTATACTGTTTCTGATTTTTTTGCACTATGCTGGACGACAGTACTGCACCTGGTGTTAACATAGAACTCCTGTCTACGGCATTTATGGGTACGCAACCAACTACAACTCCAGCCTGCTCCACAGAATCACATGCCAGGCAAGGATCCAAATATTTGTGCATTTATCCTACATTGTCCAGGTCATTTCAGTTCTCTTACCTTTGCGGATAACTGATGGACCCTACAGGACAATGGCCGTAGGGTGCGCACAACAGGAAATATTAACTCTTTTTATCGCCAAGCGGTAGAAAATCACTTGGTCGGCCTTGTCCATCAGGAACACTATATCGTTGTGCGCTCGCAAACTCTACAGCATCTGGAGAGCAATCCGGCTGAACCTCCTTCCCCTATGCATGGCCAGGTAGCGTCCCCTCCCTGTGTAGATCAGATGGAGTCTACCATTGATAGTGAAGGAGCCTCTCCAGAGGACGGTGGCTGTGCCATATCTCGTTCTGTCGTCACACGGCTACAGTATGGTTAGCATGCTCACAACAAAGTCTCTCCTTCAGACACTATGAAGTCACTGCCAGCCTCTTCCATGAAAACTGCGACCCTTTGTCTAGTACTCATCCCAACCACCCCCTAATTACTTGCCCAGTATGTCGCCGTGGCCTTGACATGCTGTGCCTAGATAGTTGTGAACATCAGCCAACTTTCCTTATGACATGTCAATGAAGTGCCATGTGTCGTCAATGTTTCCACAAAGCTGTCATAGAACGTATGTGTCTCTACTGAGTGGGCTGTCTCTGATGCCATCATCCGCCCCACCCCCTCTTAGCATGTCGCGCATGCAATGTTGGGCACACACCTGCTGCAATCCTTACCAAACAAACGACAAATGCAGCAGCCTGAGGAGGGAAATAGAATACCACATGAACCGCCTACAATGTTTCCAGGAAGCTGTCATAAAAAGTATGTGTCTCCACTGTGTGGGCTATCCTTGATGCCATCATCAGCCACACACTCTCTTAGCATGTCCCACATGCAATGTTGGCACACATCTGCTGCAATCGCAGTAGGGTCTCCTTCATCCTTGCCAGACGAACGACAGATGCAGCAGCCTGAGGAGGAAAATAGACTGCCATATCAACCACCTACAGAGCGCTATACTGAAAGGTTATCACCGCCAGGGTGAGCTGTTGCAAGCCAAATCCTGCAGCAGCTAAACATCCTGGCTTTGGATCAATCACCGTCGTCGTCTCCCCATAGAGAAGGAAT